GATACACAACCATTCCTCTTCTCCAGTATCAGGAACACAATGAGTGCTTGCTTAGGGTACATGAAAGAGATGGGGAGTAGCTCACACCCATGCAGCTGGTGGGTGAACATTCCCGAGAGCAGAACCCAGTTACAACTGGAGGCCTGGCTTGACCTATTTCAGTTTTTCAGTCCACTCTGAAAAGGTGGTAACAACTCATTCCTTCCTCCCATGCCATAGCACAGATGACAGAGCACCCGGGAAGACCCGCATTCATCGAGGGGCACTTGCCAAGCCGTTAGCTGAGATGCCAAGATCCCTGAGTGGACATAGCTACAACCCTCTCCAGCTAATACCTGTGTGCCCAGAGACAGCTTTGCTGATGAAGTCCTGCGGCCGCCCAGATTCCACACGGAACTCCAGCTCTGACCGGCAGAAATAGTACTGCCTCCATGTCTGTGTGCCCACGACCATGGGGAAGGCGTTGCAGGAGGCCCAGCGTCTCAGACACAGCTGCCTGAAACACAGATGCAAGCATAGGCTGGTGCAGCAGGCTGGTTTCTGAAGCCAGGAGATGGAGCTTTGAATTCTGGCCTTACCTCTTTCTGTCTTTGAAACCCTGGATAACTCACAGTCCCTAACTAGCCCTCAATTTTCTCCTCTGTCAAATGGGGGCAGGGCTAATGATAGGTCACATGCCAACCATGCTCCACTTCTTATGTGACAAGCTGCCCTTCATGGCAGCCCTCTGGGGAAGGCACTCACCACCATCCTACACTTGGGGACACAGAGGCCAAACAACTGGGATCCAGGAGCCCACTTGGTAAGTCTCCAACTGTTTGTGTCAACTGTCCATCTGCCCTTTCAGTTCTGCCTGTCCTTCCTGTGTTTTGTGCTTGTTGCCAGGGGCACACCCGGGGGCCATCCCTTCTCCCAGGGCCCCCCCTGTGTCTTCCTATAACATACTTCCTTACATGTCTGATCTCAGTCTGCTCTGGCTGACGTCCCCAGTCACTGAGCTTTTTCATGCTGTTGGCATGTATATCTTCTTACTGTCAACCTATCCCTGTCTGTGAATCCAGAGTGTGTCTCAGGGATGGGGACGTGGGTCAGTTGTAGAGTGCCTGCCAAGCACGCACCCAGTACTGGATTTGATCTCCAAATCTTGGAACAAAAACAAAGAAAACTAAGTGTATCTCATGTACACAGCATTAAGTTGGACTATTTTTCTTTGACAGTTCCATCGATCTTTGTCTTTTCGTTAGGTTGTGCAATCATATTTTTGTCATTTTAGTACTTTCTTGTCTTATGCCTTTCTCCCCACACTATTGCATTTCTGTCATATTTTCTGTTAAGTGTGGTCAAATACACTGTTTCAATTTCTTTGTCATTTCTTCCACTATATTTTTAGTTACTTTTTAGTGGCCATCTTAAAGTTATAACTTGGATTTTGATACATCAACAGCTGCACCAGGCAGTTCATCCATTCAGACAATTTCTTTGAGTCACATGCTTTGCAAATTCTACCTTTCCCTAAATTACCTACCATTACTAAAAACTCAGTTCTTCAAAGAGTAGATAAAAGAATGGATTCTAATGAAAGTCTGCTTCAAAACTGACTGAGATTATATTTCTAGTCAATATTTGTTATAATGCTGATAAAAAGCAACAGAAGGAACAGTGTTCTATGATGCTGAAAATGGAATATGCTAAGATAGCCCTTGATGAGGGAATGTCTTTCTGTACACTGCGAATATGTGTTGTTCTGATTGGTTGACAAATAAAGCCATTTGGCCTATGGCAAGGCAGCTTAGAGGCAGGTGGGAAATTCAAAGAGAGAGAGACAGGAAGAAGGTGGAGAAAGACACCATCGAGCCACCCAAGGAGCAACATGTAATGATGGGATGCAGGTAAAGCCATGGAACATGTGGTGATACATAGATTAATAGCTGTGTGCCAATTTAAGATACAAGAGCTAGCTAGCAAAAAGCTTGAGCCATGGCCATACAGTTATAATTAATATAAGCCTCTGTGTTTACTTGGGAGATGCAAGTGGGAGAGGATTTGTCCTGACCGCCTGCAGGCCAGGACACCAGACATCTGACTACAAGCCCTGACATAACCAAGAATCCCAGGGTGTCACAGTTATCCTACATAAAAGCAAAGCCTCCCTCCCAATTCTGAGGAAGCTTCACATTTGAACAGTTGTTCTCATTAGGGTGAAAAATGTAACTCCTACCTGCCCATCAAGGTGTGGGCCTTACATTCAGTGGCCGTCTCCTCCCTTTCTCCCCTCCTGCTGCTGTTAGTTTTATCTTAGTATAAAATATAAGATAACAGGTTCCAAAGGAGGAATAAATTAGAGGGACTTAGCAAATTCAATGTTTTAAATACTTCTGTTTTATACACTCTTACATTCTTCTGCTGTTGTACCCTTGAAATAATCTGAACTGGGCACGGTGGCACATGCTTGCAATTCCAGCACTCAGGAGAGCTAGGCAGGAAGATTACAAGCTCAAGGCTAGCCTAGGCTACAGAGTAAGCAAAGGCCATCCTGGCTATAAAATGGATCATTTATTTATTTAAAGTAATTTGATTATACTGACAGAAACTGCAGGGAATGAGTCCAGCTGGTTGAGTCTGGCAGTCCTGACAATCATGGTCTTAGAGGGGTCTCCTCACGTATAAGGACTAGGGATATAATCCTTTCTCTGTCCTCAATAGAGACAGAAGTGATTATAGCACTAGGAAACCATTTCCAGTGGATGTCTCTCCTTCACAGGACCACACTTGGCTCTTCCTTCACTCACCTCCACAGTTCCTTGGTCATTGCAACCTCATTCCAGACCTAGAATAAGTGCAGGAAAAGACAGCATCTGGTCAGTCAATGCTATTAAGCACCTAGCTTGCCAAACCACAAAGAACAAAACCAGCCCTGTTTCTGCATTCAACACAGCTCAACCTGGTGCATTTAAAACAACAGATAATTAAGAACCACCAAATGATGAAAACGAAGAGACTCAACGGGATTGATGAGTCAGGGCCCAGGGGCTCAGAGACACAATGACAAATCAAAGAGTGGATAGTTGTTCTAAAGCAATGTAGGGAAACACTGGATATGCATGATTCATAAATATGAAAAGGATAGTTTAGTAATTTGCCTCAGTTAGAGCACGAGGTTTTGGTTGGGGAAGAACCGGGAAAAGGAGCTGGCTGGGTAGCTTCTACCACTCCCAAAAAGTCTCTGTGCAAAAATACTGATAAGCTACTTGAGTATTTTCAATAGGGGAGTAGTGAGGTCCAGAGGGCTATGTATAATTAAGCCCTCTCTGCTTGCTTCGAAGACTGGTAATGATTTCAGACAGCTTCTGTGGGGCTGTAGTGATGGGGATGTCTTAGAGTTGCCAAGATGGTCCACCGGCAACGGTCTCCAGGGCAGGTACTACACAAGCCCTGCTATTACTTCTCTCTGCAGAGGCATCCGCAGGACGCCTAGGATGCCTGAGTGTGCTGTTGAATGACTGTAATCAGAGCAACCTGGGAGATTTAAGGTCATCCTCCCCTGCACAGCTAGTTCAAGGTCAGCCTGAACTACAAGACTCTAACTCAAAAAAAAAAAAAAAAAAAAAGAAAGAAAGAAAGAAAGAAAGAAAGAAAGAAAGAAAAAGCTGTCTTTTTTAAAATCCAGTAATGATGTTGTAATTTTGCAAAATCAAACCAAGCAAAGATCTAAGCATCTTCCCATTCAAAGCCAACTGGGATCTCAGTTCTCAAATAGAAGATGTAATGTGTGGTATGCTCTATAGAATAAATACTAGCCATCTTTAAGGATCCTTCTGTTGGAGTCATAGAGATTACTGACCTCATTTAACTTATAGGTAGATTGTAACCAGGAAAAATTGACAATACCAAAGGGAAGAAGGAAGAACTTCTCTTTCAAACTGTCTCTAAACTGTGCCTACCATGCAAAACAGCTGGAGTCTCAACTCAAGCCCTGCACGTGACTCCATCATCACCTTAGAGAAGTCACTGGGTGATACTCAGTTTCTTGATGTGTAAACATGGGAGTGAAACTCAGTATTTACTAGATATACTTAAAATTATCCCCAGGGACTTGGAACTATGAGGTGCTCCCTGGGCTGAGAAGTGCCTGGGAGAGGTGAGGATCCCTGTTCTTCCTTCCCTTGTACCTTGTACTGGCAATTGGGCACCTTTTCATCGAGGCCACATCAGCTCCATATAGGAAACCAAAGCTACCCAGGTATTTCACAGACTGCCAGGTCCTCAGCAGGCCTTGCATCTACAGTACACCCTGCCTGCATCATTTTCGGTGGCACCTGAGACTGCAAGTTAGATGAGATGTGGGCTAAAAATGGGAGACAAGACGTTTTAAAAATGCCTTTTAAAAAAAGGGTTAAAGTGGCTTCCTCGTGTGTGATGTATTAAATTAACCCATGATTAGAGGAAGAGATCATTTGCTTATTTATTGTATGATTGTGTTAATCCCATCGGGCAAGAATAAGATCACTGCCACAATTTTTGAGCCAAATTTGAAGCAAGCGTTATCAATTACTGGCCAGAATGATGGACACTGGCCAGGCCATACCTGGAATTCCCAGAGAATGGCACCAGATTACATTAGGCAGAGGATTAAAAAGGCAAAACCCACAAGGCTACACACTTCCTGCCTTTATCTAAACGGGGGCAAGCATGCATCCTGACGTACTTCCTACCTATGTACCTCTGACTTATGTGTGATCAAGCACATTCTGTACAGTTGGGGCAACCAGCCTTGTTTCCTGAAGTGAAGACACATGACTTGTTATCTTATGTGAACAATAGCCCCCATCATTCCAGGAAGTTCTCTGTCCTTGGGCAAGTGGGGCTCACAGGCTGGGGCATTTTTGTCTATAGATCTCCTACGCACAGTAATTTAAACTTTAGCCATCACAATTGATAAGCCAAGATGTCAGCAGCTGCTGTATGTAGGTGGACAGTCATGGCCTCTGTTTTCTCTCCAGGGTGTGGCAGGACAGAGTGTGGAAGAGGACACATTTACAAACTGTGGCATGGGAGGTAAGTTCTCAGGCTCTCAGAGTTTTGGCAACAGCTAAGAGAGGAAAAAGATGCAGGTCCTAAGAAGTATTACAGTGTAGCAAAGAGAGGAAGAGGCTAGGGATACTGTCAAAAACCAACAGTGGCAGACAGGGAGGTTCCTCAGCTAGCTCAGGGCCCTAGGTGCATTCCCCAGAACTATAAAACCAAAATCAAAATTAGGTGATGCCTATCTACACATTTGAGGTCTGACACTGCCACATGTCATCTCTGGGTCCTTTGATGAAGTCTGAGGAGTGGGGCACACTTGCAGTTTGAAGGTTTGGGCAAAATTGGCAAGACTGGAAATGAATAGTGTTGGTATCTTTCTGAGGGTAAAAGTTTGAAAACTGAACAGGTTTGAAACTGCAAGTCTAAGAGCTTTGTTCAAGCAAGGATGTGTCTAAGCTTCTCAATACTGGTTTACTTAATGAAGAGACTAAAATTCAAGGCATGCACTGGGCACTTGGGACAGACACTGAAGAAAGATTTTAGCATCTTTTCTGCCACAGTTCAGTAATGAATCTGGCAGGGAAAAACAAGTACCTTGCACTAATAGTGATTTAGTCGCTTTGTACTGAGTTCATGAGAAGCAGCACACGGCCAGATAGATGACAAGCAGGGCAGGGCGCGGCCAAGAAGGCACATGGTAAGTGCTAAGGCAACGCCACAACGCCACCTGAGGCCACAGGACTCGGGAGCCCACGGCAAAGCCAATCCGTGGAGGGAATGCCCCGGCAGCCCCGGCCCGCGGAGCGCAGTGATGGGACGACTCCATCCGGACCTCACCTTGTTCACCTGCGCCGCGCGCAGCAGGTCGCGGGCCTCCAGGAAGGAGAAGACGTGCATCAGCTCGTGGGGGCCAAGCTGTGGCGCCATCCTGCTCGCCGCGCCCTAGCCCCCGCTGGCTCGCTTCCGCCGCCGTTGGATAAGCCCGCCCACATGCGGAATCTGTGCCGGTTACTTCCTTTCCGGGCTCGCCTTTCCCCGAGCCTGCTCTGGCCCAGGAACTCTTGACATTCGGATACTTCTAATCTTGACCTTGTTTTCTCTGCCTCTCCCACTACAATCAGCTTTTATCCTCGCCGGGTCCTGGCTTCAGTCTCCTCCATGTGTGTGTAATTCTGCATTGTATTTATTACCAACCATGCCAGCACATACACGTTTAGTCTTTTCCAGCAACAGGCTGTTTGGTAGGACAGAGTAGGAAGCATGCTTCCTCTACTATTTACCGCAACTTAACGCTGCTGTTAAAACCATGCACAAGCCGGGCGGTGTTGGCACATGCATTTAATCCCAGCACTTGGGAGGCAGAACCTGACTGATCTCTGTAAGTTCAAAGCCAGCCTGGTCTACAGAGCTGGTGCCAGGACAGCCAAGAAACCCTGTCTCAAAAAACAAAAACAAAAACCCCCGTCTCAAAAAAGCATGCGCGCGGGCACACCCCCCCCCCACACACACACCACCCACAAACAAATACATTTTACCTTAAAAGAGCGAAAGTATTGAGTACTATGAGTCTGCAATGAACTCTTCTCTACTCCTATAGGGGCAGAGGGACAAGCTAGAGGTGTTGGACTTCTGCCAGGGAAGCAACAAGTCCATACTCCCATTCTTGGCTAGCGACAACTATTACTGCTGCTGATGTGCAGGTGAAGACGTTTCTCCCAGAGAGTGTGAGAGCCAAAGTTACATTTTAAGTTTTAATTACTATGCCTAAGGGATCAATGTAACAAAAATGCCTCTAATCTGCAAGCCGGACAAGGACAAGCCAAGGACAGATAGTTCTGAAATGCTGGAAGCTATTGTTTATGGGAGATAACAAGACACACGTTTCCACTCTCCTAAACAAGTTTGTTTGAGCCATACACACTGGATATGCTTGATCACATGTGGGCGGGAGGTTCACAGGCAGAAAATGGTCAGGATGTGTGCTTGCCCCTGATTGGACCTGATGGGAAATGCAATGAATCATGAGTTTTTCTTCTTAAGCCACTGCAAACTGTGATTCTGGGTTGTTTCCCGGGAACCTGGGTATGGTCCTGGCCAGAGCTCATCTGCCTGGCTAGTAGTTAATTAAAGCTTGTTTCAAATTTGGCTTTAAACCGTGGTAGTGTTTTTGTTGTTTTTTTTTTCTCGATTGTTGTGGTGCTGAAATGACTACAGTAACATCATCTTATTTTGACTTCATTTTGTGTTTGCTTAGGCAACTCTCAATCCTCTATCCCCCGCCACCCTCAACTGGCACATCTGCCTTAGCAACACATTTGAGATTTCCATGGCCTTGACCATGGTCCAGATGTATTAACCAAAATAATAAGCAAACTAAAATAATTTAAAAATATATAAGTAAAAAAAATGACATGCTATGTCTGAAATAATTACTATGCTTTGCCAATAATGAACATTTCAAGGTTACTCTGACCCTCTCTAACTTTGGTGTAAATTATGGTCTTTGTGGGGTTTGCCCTTAAAAACTCTGTACCCCTGAGTTTGGACACCAAGAGACTTTTCAGAGGCCGAGCCCATTCTTGGTCTTGCCAACAATAAAAAGGACTTAAGACCTTTAACGGGCTTAATCAGCATTGTTGTCAAAAACTGTCTCATGTGGATCATTTAGTGCTCATAACCAGGATGCTTGAACATGGAAAAAAATCAGATTCCTCAGGAATTGTAATGAACTCTTAAAGCTCATGCTAGGCAAGCATAAGGTGATCTAAGGCTGGGCAGAAGGGGTGGCCGAGAAGAGTGTGGAGCAGAAGCTAAGCTGATGGGTGCCCTGGACTATGCCTGTGGAGCCTCCAGGCACCTGGTCACCTTACCAGCACAGGCCACTTGCACCTTCACTGTGGAGCTTCTAAACCTGGGTGACAGAGACGTGGCCTCTCTCCCAGCCCCACACATGGACCTTCTGTGGAGGGACCTGGAACCTCCAGATGTGGATCCTTGCAGTGTCGGTGAGGGGCTACCGTTCTTTAAACCCATTGACCTGAGTTTAAATGCAAAGGAATTGCATACCTAGAGTGAAGAGATGATGAGATCTTTAAAAGTCAAATTATTATAGAATTTTGGGGCCCAAGTCATAAGTCCATTGAAGCTTTCTACATTCACCCCCTAACTAGTAAATGCCAATATGTTTAATCCAGGGAAGCACAAAGCTTCCAGAGTCTATCCTTAGCTGGGTGATTACTGCTTTCATTAATAAAGTGAGAAGGGTCTTTTTTCTGGTGTGACGGTAAATGTCCTTTACTATCTCGTGTGTTTGTACCATTGGTTCCCCAGTAGGTGGCACTATTTTGGAAAGCTGGGAAATCTTTGAATGTGGGGCCTAGCTGGGAATACTGGGTTTCTGGGAGGCCTGGGAGACTGCTGATACAATGTAACCAGCTGTGTCCCACCACCATACTGTCCCTGCCCTCTGAAAGCCTGAACCAAGTAAATTCTTCCCTCCCTGTGTCATTTTTTTTTTGTCAGGGTGATGCAAACAGCCACAAGAAAATGACTGGTACCTGGGGACAGAAAGAAGAAAGGCGTGTGGGTTATCCCTTGCCATGTTTGGTCTATCCTTCTGTGACCTCACAAGGAGCCATCGTGAATACTTGTAGATGCCTGCCTGGCTCCAGCTGAGTTTTGTGTTACTCCTCAGAGAAGCTGTTGTCTGGGTGGAGAGAAGTTGGACTTGGATGTTGCTTCTGGTAAACTTGGCCTTTCCCGATCAGTTGGACCTCGACTTAGTAAGTTTGCCAGTTAATTGATTTTGACACGGTCTTTTTGATTTGTCTTGTTGTTTTTGAGACTCTAGTTCCTGGCTAGCCTGAAACTCACTGTGTAGACCAGGCTGGCCTGGAACTCCAGGCAATCCATTTGTCCTGCTTCTGGAGTGCTGGAGTTAAAGATTTGCACCACCTTGCCTGGCCAGTTTTGGTTTTTTAAAATTTTTATCTACTTACTGGTTTTGCTTTTGGGTTTGAATTATGCTTATATATTCACTTTTATTTATTAATTATTGCACTTTTATTTTAAAATGTCTTAGTTACTTTTCTGTTGCTGTAACAAAACACCATGACCTATGTGGCTTATAGAAGAGTTTGTTTAGGCCGGGCGGTGGTGGCGCACGCCTTTAATCCCAGCACGCGGGAGGCAGAGCCAGGAGGATCTCTGTGAGTTCGAGGCCAGCCTGGGCTACCAAGTGAGTTCCAGGAAAGGCGCAAAGCTACACAG